GTTCAATATCCGGGTGGCCGTTGCTAATAAAGTTTGTATATTATTGTATAAGAAACTTAATCTTATATGCAAGCGCCCCTCGGAAAACAGCCACGGAATTCGTACCGCGCTGTATCGAAACCGTATTCTACTGAAACGGTTTTATTAATTTATTTCAACTAAGATATAATAACCCTACAGTTATTCAAGTAACGACTTTTCAAAACAAAACGTTATAAAGTAAGCGGTAGAAAAGTGTCCCGATCCGATCCATTTTCAGTATCGTGCGCCCTTGGTTCAAAACACGTCAGTGGCCAAATTTCATCAAATTATCGCAAAAATTGCTGTGTTTAGGTTGACATACGCACACAAGCTTAAATCGATTTGAAAATCGTTCCGAATCGATCGGTATAATAGAAAGTGGGCTCAAATCCTTCTGGTTGTCGCATTCATTCCCATAAACGTAATAAACCCTTATGCCACAATTGGCGTAGGGTATAAAAAAATATGAAACTCAACATTATGATGACAATACAAAAATGAAAAATATTTTCAAAAAATAATGATGACGACCAAAAATTGCAGCAACTCTTTTTTTTTTTCTCCCTTTTATTAACGATAATTTAAAAATAAAAGCAAAAAGCAATTGAAAATAAATCTAGCGGAACACATATTCGATTTTTTGAAACCGTGTTATAACATTGGCAAATGTATCACCGCGTTGTATCGAAACTTTATTCGACAAGCGGTGTGTTATCGGAACTCTCTTATAAGCGCATGTTTTGTAACGCCTTCTATCGAAGCCGTGTTCGATAGGCATCGTATTATATAAATGACGCCTGTGCATATATATATTACTGCAACTATTTAGACAATGCAATTATAAAAAATTAAATATCGCTTAAACATTTCATTAATATAGTTAATGTAATCTGATCTGATATAATCTGATCTTCACTTTTGCAACTTTTTTAAAAAAAAATTTTCCAAATTTCCTACTTTAGTCGTTTGAACGAGTAAAGTTCTTCTTAAGAACATTTACCGTTACTTAGCGAAGCTGTATAAATCTAAAGGCTAAGTAAGTCCAATAACAGTAGTTGGATAAATGAAAATAGCTTTTTTTTCTTTAGTGGATCTAACGTTTGTAATGCTTGAGAATGTGTTTTCAAAATTTTAAAAGCTGTAAATATTTGTAATCAATCTGTTAAGTTCTTTGATGCATTAAACTGTGAAAATTGCAATGTTATGAAAGCGCTCTCTTTTACTACGTCTGGAAAACGCTTCTCTTCTTTCAAAAATCAATCCACATGTTTATGCACAATTTTTGAAACCCTATGCTTTAGATTGTATTACTACTTAAGCGCTTAGACATTATGTTAGATATTCTACTTTTAAGTTAAGCTTTCGTACGTGAACCACGTATAACTATCACCATTTTCACAACATATGTTAGGTTTTAGTTAACTGTTATATTACAGTACCATACTTGTTGTTATGTTATATTGCATTTCTACACCTACTCTTTTCGTATTCTTTCCCTAAAAATCTTAAATCAAAGCTAATAAAACATGCGAACTCTATAAAACATTATGGTGGGACCCCGCCCATCCGCTAAATACCCTACATCATTTAGCTTGATGCGGGTGTTCCTGTAACTGACTTTCCAAAATAAGGATTTGTATTGGAAGCGGTCGAAAGCACAATTTGATCCGAATAATTTTTAATAATGTTCGTCCTTAGCTCGAAGGCGTCGATATGCTAGGTTTTATCAAAATATCTGTAGGTTAGATATAAAACTACATCAATCGGTACAACAAGAGTGGATACATCTTCTACTTTCAGGGTGTTGCATACGTTCGCCCAAACTTACTATATCTTTCTATCGCAAATGGTTTAGGATATAATAAGAAAAAATTCGATCCATAATTTGTTTATTTCCATTGATGTAAAAAAAGGAACATTAAAAGTGTATTGTGTTAAAAAATTAAGGAAAATTTGATTTCTTCAACAATCTATTGTTATAATTATCAGAAGTGTTATAATACATAGTTAACGGAAATTTATAGTAGAATAAAAAATTCGCAAAGAAAATAAATCATATGTTAAAAAAGTAAGATAAGGAAAGCCACCACCACAATATAAAAAGGAAAACCACAGTCAAGTTGATAACATGAACAATAAAAAAAAAAAATCTTGTTCACATGCACGCATACGTGTACATATACAACCCGGTGTGTGTGTATATATTTAAGAATGTAAGCACAGTGTTCACAGACGGTTTAAACGTGAGACATCTTTCCAATGAGTCACGATCAACAATTGCTTGTAAGGTATACCCGAGCAAGTATTTATTTATATACATATATATATGAATGTGTTTACACTTTTAATATAAGTACACGAATACGTGAGTATACTTGTTTACATATTGATGTTTACATCATTTCGCTTTGAAAAGTAGTTTTAATTTTCGCTTAAAATTTCCATGCTGCTCATCCTTTCTCTCAAATGAAATACGAAAACATTTATGTTTAATTTTTGTTGAACGTCTCCGAAAAATAGCGACAGTTGGCGTTGGTTTCCTTAACACAAAAAATATTAGGTAACTAAAACGAATTAATATCCGGTTTTAATGTTTGCTATCAATGTATTTATGAATTTTATGAAAAAAAAAAAAAAATATGACGGCAAATATTATCTGCCATGTTGACCGGCATAAATGGTGAAAAAGGAACTCGGCGCAAGACTCCTCCTCATTAATAATACAGAATATTTCCATCAATCAATTATCGTATAATTTAAGTGCTCTTTGTTTATGCGTATGTTTCTATGAAGCTATCATAAGGAGCACATGCTATCAATTAACAAAGATTCCGATTACTCTGGTACTTGTTTCAGTTAAACGTCTGCTGTTGAATAAAGTTAGGACGATGCAATTTTGACAAGATATTCTTTAGCGGAGCGCCCGAAACCAAATGTAAAAATGAATGTGACATATATGTTCTTGATACGCAAAAATTCGAAGACGCCAGCGGATGCTCCTTTCAAATTTAATAACATATTCAGGATCATCTTAAGTGAATACTTTGCTATTTTTTCGTTATTTAAGTGCGATAAGACGGGCTTCAAAAATTCGTTACAAGCGAATATAACCTGCAGGCGAACGACCTAAACGCTTGATATATCCATACGTAGACCTAACATTGTTTTTTTTAATTGTTTACGCATTTGAAATTTGATTTTCTTTGGGTTTGCGTCAGTTTTTTAAATTGAATAGGAAATGGACATAATGGAAAAACACCATTGCGAATAACATGGATATGTATAATGTACTATTGAACAATACTTTTTTTTATGCGTTATTAACCAATTAGCTGCGTCGACCTCTTCAGCGACATACTTGTATACTTGTCAAGCACAGAGTCTGTATAATACGAAATTAGGTTGCAATGAAATGACAAAGATATTTTCTAAACTACATTATTGCGGCAAATACTTATAATGATAAAATGTTATGAGGCAATCCGAGAAGGAAGAATGGACAGATTACGACGGACATATTCGTCATGCACAGTTAACTGATTAATGTCCGCTTTTGCACTGATATTCATTACTTTCACATATACTGCCTTTTGTTAGAGTTAACCCATTGGCTCTGCTAATGCTAATACGAGGTTTATTCATTAACCCAGGCTTGCACAGTCTACAGTGACAACGTAAGTAATTCGGGTAATACCGACATGCTTTCATATGATTTATTAAGATCACATTTTATTTGAACTTGATTGTATGTATTTTCGCCGTGTCTGTGTAATAAAAAATATACATATATATATATGTATATATATATAAGTAACTAAAACAAAAAAAAAAAATGAAAAAGAACTTATCAGCATTTGTTAGAAAATATGTAAATGTAACAGTGTCTATGGATCACATCGTGTGCCATCAAATTCATATATAAAAAGTGTTTAAATGTTGGCTTAACTAACGTCAGCAAGATATTTATAATTGTAAATGCGACATATAACCTCAAAAATGGCATAGCGTAAAACGTTATTAATGCAAAGCATTACATGCACTATCTATAGTGTCTCGATTGCACCCAACCACCTTCATAAATATATACCAAATAAAATTACGTTCTTTATACCAACGTCTCAATTTATTAAAATTTTTGCTTGTACTCTCTTCCACCGGAAACTTGTTTGTATGGATACGCGACAATAAGTTTCTTCTCTTATTTCGTCTGTTCAATTTTTCAATTATTGAACATACTTTCTATTGACAAATTTACATATTTGACAAGGAAACTTTTGATTTTAAATACTAATACTTTTCTTTCGCACACATTTTTATGTAAATAACTTAATAGTTTGACAGTCTACCTAACAATATTTCTGGATCAGTTAAGTATAATAATGTAAGCTCGTAGAATATTTGCAAAATGTATAAGTTTTTTCAATTCCATGATACTTATGAAAATTAGTTTTACATTCAATCTGATGAATTGATGTTGAAATTTTGAAGTTCAATTAGCTGAATTCATCTTGAAATAGCGTTTTAGATAGGATAACGCGAAATACTTCCAGATTGAGTTATAATTGCATAACACAATTTGTTGAAATATAAGAAAAATAGTTCTTCTTCATATCCATCAAATGGTATTTACCTTCAAGAAGCTATTTAGATAGTCTAATGAAAAAGTACCTCTAAGCCGAATTGCAGTTTTTCAATCCACGTTGCTGAATTACAAGAATACTCAGCAGATTGAATCTAGTTGTTCAATTCAATTTGCTGAATAACGAGACTAGTAATTCTTCTTCACATTCAGCAGATTGAGTTTCCAATCGAGAAATTATTTAGACAGCCTAATGTAAAAGCTCTTGCAAAGTGAGTTATAATTGCAGAATGCAGCATGCTAAGTTACATAAAGAGAAAACACTTTTATTCATATTCAGAAAGATGAATTTTCCCATTTTGTATTTGTTTAATACTCACCCAAGTTTTTTATATTGCAGATGATCCTGGTGGTGCGAAAAAACTGCAACAACAATCACAAACAAATCTTAGCAATATGGAAACGAGAACCACAGCAGCGGCAACAGTACCATTAACACCAGCATCAATAGCAACAACAACAGCAACGACTACTAAACATTACAATAAAACAAAGCTGCAAACAAATAATAATAATAATAATAATAATAATAATAATAATAATAATAATAGTAAATCAAGTACAACGACGGTAACATTAACCACAGTTCATAAAAAGTTTCAAAAGGAACACTTACAAGAAACATATCGCACAGAAGAAATTGAGAATACAAATGATATCAATAGCAGTACTGCAAATACAAAGCAACAGAAACTAACATCAAAACAAATTAAACCTGCGCCAACAATATCAACGATTGGAGCAACGAAATTAGAAACAAACGCAGCATTCACCGATCACGATGGTACAGCTGATTTTAGTAAAGAACCTAATAAGACATTGGCAAACATTAGGCAGAGCGATAACAATGACAACGTTAGAGTAGCTGACTCTGCCATCGTCAGCCCCAGTAAAAATAGTAACAATAATCATCATAAAGGTGTTGCGGAAACTGATAAAAATTGCAGCAAAGTCATTCGCAATTTTAGTGGCAATTGTAAGAACAACAACAGCAACAATGGTGATAATAGTTTAAGTAGCTTAAAACACAATGACTTAAGTATTAACGATAAATCTAAACTACAGCAACAGCAGAGCAAAAATAGTGATAACAGCAATACAATCGAAACATCAAAGCCTTATAATAGCGCAACCGTGGCAACGTTAACCGCAACTAGCTGGAATAATTCCAAATATTTGCACAAGAAATTTAAACGTTTAGCGAGCACAACGGAGGCCGATACATTGGTTGAAAATGATGCAGTGCCACGAAACGCTTCCATATCTTCGGCCAGTTCAGCGGTATCGTCAACGCCTGCATCATTCTCATTGGAATCAATGGCATCCCCAGCTAATCCTTCTCCCGCCTTAACCATAACCGAACCGTTAACAAATGGTTTCGTCAACAAATCAGAATGTCAGCCCAGTACTGAGCAGACAGCGAAGAGCAATACATCAGATAATACGCATCAACAACGCCAGCAGCAGCAAATATGTACGCCATTAATACAAGAACAACAACAACAAGATCAACAAGAGCAACAACAACAACAGACAGCTGAAGTTACTAACGAACCCAATACTACAGTGACACCAAGTATCAGCGCTAATAATATTGGACGCTATGTATGCTCTTATTGCAATATGAGCTGTACAAAACCTTCGGTGCTGCAAAAACATATTAGGGCTCATACGAACGAACGTCCGTTCCCTTGTGATACATGTGGTATTGCTTTTAAAACCAAGAGTAATTTATATAAGCATTGCAGGTAAGAGTACAACTTTGAAAAAATCTGCGATCCATCACAAACTAAGATTATCTTTCATAATAATGGGTTTGCGTATTAGATCTCAGTCTCATGCAGCTCGTCAGCGCGGCATTGAGGTGCCGCCAGACGCTGATGATGGCCTTTCCGATCAGGACGCCGATCCTGAGTTGAGTAATAGTAGCTCAGAAATGGTAAGTTGTCAAACTTGTTGAAGTATCGAATAACCATTTACATCTCTCACACACATTACGATTGCAGTTAAGTCATACCGATTCACCAAATTTAGATGAAAGTGGCAGCAATTTTTCAATTGGTGCGCATTTGATACAGCACACACCTACTGCCTCTACATCTGCGGCCTCAACATTAGTCGCATCATCACCTGTCTCCATGTCTACCGCTACAAAACAACCCCAGCAACTGCCATTGGGTTCACCTGCCGCTGGTAACCTGCCACCCACGTCAGTTTCTTTGGCATCTAGCCAAGGCGGTATCAACAGCGTTCACCAAAAACAAACTATTGATTATAAGCCGTACAAACCAAAATTTCACAATGCATCCTTGTATCAGACGTCTAAGCAAACGCTGACGTCTACACCGCCTAATGACAAAAAAGAAAATTGCCTTCTTAGCTCTAATCAGGAGCAAATGACACAGCAACACCAGCAGAAGCAAACATCACAGCAAATTGTGTTAGAACAGCAGGCGCAACAATTACAACTTGCCGCTAGCCATCATTCTCAAAAGCAAGCCCATCATCATCCTCATCATCAACATCAGCACCAGCATCCGACTCTTTCACCTAGCACTCAACTTAAATTAAATAATCATCTAAACAGCCATCAAATACCGCAACTGCAGCAACGGCAACAGCATCAGCACCAGCAGCCTCAAATATCAGCGCCGCATCATATTTTAGCTCCTCCGTCACATCAGGGCAGTCCCTTGCCAATACCTTTAGCAGCTGCAGCAGCGGCTTATTATTTAGGTCAAACATCTCCTACGACTGCCGCGATGCTGCATTCAACTACTCACTTACCTGGTCAACATTTTTACAATCCTGTTGCCGCTGCTGCAGTTGCTCATCAGCAGGCTTTGGCATCGTTACATATGATGACTCCGCAGCAGCAACAGCAGTTCCATCATCAAATACAGTTGCAGCAACAACAGCAAATACATCTCCATCAACAGCAACATCAACATTCCAACATGGCTAACGTAATGCCTATAACAAAACCTTTGACTTCTAACAATCAACCAGTCGTAAGCCAAAGTTCAAACTTGCGCACATTGCAACATGCAACAACCAGCTCGTCGGTTTTCGTTAGCACTTCACAAAATTCTGTTACATTAAGTCCGAGCAATATGAGTAACAAGATCAGTCCTTCTCCTGCGGGGCCACGTTCGCCAGCTTTGAATTCCAATGATTCAAACTCTTCAGCTTCCTTAAACAGCAATAATCTCTTACAGTCGTGTACAACACCTTCGACCATTGATGTCCATCTGGTAAGCTTCTCTTTGAAATAGACAATGTAGTCAATAGACTTGACTTATTAATTTTTTTCCTCTTTCAAGAATAAAGAAAAACTCCATGAGCATATCAATAAAATTATTTCGCAAAATGAAGCGATAGTCGAGAACAAGGAACTGCTGTTGCAAAAGAAATACCCAAAGACTTTGAATAGATCACGTAGCTTTAACAATAGCAATATTAGCAACAGTGTCGGTAATAACTTTAATTCTTCAAATGCCAATCCTGTCATGAACGATACCCGAACTCTAACTTCTGTTAATGTCCAGACTACCGAATCCAACACAAATGCTAAATTGGTACAAGTGATTGTGCAGAAACAGCAACAGCAGCAACAACTTCATCAGCAACAACAACTTCAACAACAACAGCAGAAGCAACAACAACAACAGCAACATCAGCACCAATGTCAACTCATGCCGCAGCATCAATATCAGCGAATTATTTTCAGCGAAAAGCCAACACTGGAAGAAGTTCCGTTACCATTAAATGGTACCGTCAAACATTTAAATACTTTAATTTCACCACACATTACATCGCAATTATCTCACGTGCCATCTAATGTGGTTGTTCATTTACAACCACAGTCGACACCACCTGCCCAAATGCAACCCCTTCAATATCGCTCGCTAGAATCTGGTTCACCTCACACAACAGCAACTTCTTTAAATAGTACTATTGTGAATGCGCCTCTAAATTTAACAAACAAAAGCAAAATAGTGGAAGAACGCAATACGTTGGATCTACAAATATCCCAAGGTCCTTTACCGTCTGCCCCGTTGCTAACAACTCCGCGTAAACGACACTCCTTAGAAATAGCGCAAAATTCCGCCGCAGCCACTGCGCAGCAGCAGATACCAGCACCAGCCATACATATCAGTGAAACTTCAAACTCCTCGACTGGGTCGTTGCCCACCCAACTGCAGTCCACTAGCAATTTAGGCAGACCGAATAACTCTATTATAAAATCCATTCTATTGAATGTTCGTGGTTTGGCACAGCCAACGGGTGAAGGAGAGGATGCTGTCTACGTTTGCCCATTATGTTCTTTACAATTTCGCACAGCTGAAGAGTTGCAATTACATAATTCTACTTACTGCCAGGGTAATTCGAGTAGTGCCCCAATTTCTCCGGTGGTTTCACCTTCCTATAAATACTTTCGGTCCAACTCGATATCATTAAACTTACCAGACTTAAAGATACTCTCCAAAAATCCACTTTCTCTAGCCAAACTAGCATGGTCTCAATTGAAGACAAAACCAAGTCATTTAGTATTGAGTAGATTAAGCGCTTCTCAGACTGGTAGCACAAAGAGCTCATCAACTGCTATCAGTTCGTCACCTGCAACCGTTCCCTGCTGTAATGCATTTACTCCAAGTATTTCGACGGTTGCACCCGTCATACCATCATCGTTATCTTCAACTTCAGCATTTAAGATGTCTACTGCACAGGATTCGTGTACTCGTTTAATTGACGCCCCTTTACCATCACCAGGACCTTTGCTAGGAAAAACTCCTTTGGTGGATTACACACCGAAAGAAAGTCGCAGTAAACCAGAAGAGTTAATAAAAATGTATGATGAACGTCTTAGTTTCCCAGCTATTACAAACGACTTAAATGCCACCACAAAACGTTTGAATAACAACATTAGTGGTGGCGATATACAACCTCTCAGCAGCAATACAGGGTTGCAAGAGTTTGGTAAAAAGGAGGAACGACTTAAACGGTATACTTTATCTTCCGGTGGGTGTATAACTCCTATATCAGAATGTAGTGATATTGATAAAAGCCAAAAGTTGATAAGAACGCCTTTATTGTCAGGTGGCAGTTTCCAGGAGATGTCGCCAAAACTTAAAGAAAAAGATAATAAACTGCCAATGTCCTTAGTACAGGTGGCACAATTGACACCGAAACTTTGTGGCTTAGGCTTAACTGCAGCTAACGCTCCGCAACATTTTCAGTTTCCTCCTATTAACCCAATAACAGCTTTTAATCCCTTAACATTACCGCTAACGGAAAAGACAATACCGTACGTACCTGGCATACCAGGCCCCAATAACCTAACTCCACAGTTGCCACCGCCAACGCCCACACATCATTTGCCGTTATCTGTGTCAACGCTTCCTCAAGGAAGCTTAACTCGCAATTGTAGTCCTAATCAAAAGCAACCGGCAAGTGCGACTGTAAATTCAGCGGGAACAGACCAAATTATATCAAAATCTTTGTCTCCATTTGGCGGCGTACAACAGGTCCCCAGCGAATTTAATCGAGTTCCCCCATCTGCTAACATGCGCAGCTTACGAAACTGGCCAAATTCATCCACAATAACAAATAATAAGGCTACAGCTGTTCCAGAAACTCCCAAAAAGACATTTAATTTTCTCCGCATGGCTGATAATTTAAGCCCAAGAAAAAATTCACCAACTGGCGCATGCACATCGAGAACTCAGCCGAACACTGTACCTGCGAGTATGGAGAAAGAAACGCGTTACTTTAATTTAGAAAACCTAAACAAAGATCAATTAATGATAACACAACCAGCAACTTCTTCAAATATTAATAATACTTCGATTATGATAGAAACTTTACCATCTTTACAAGTTGATATTACTACAACTACCAATGCCGTCATTAACAGCAATCAAATGCCAAACTTTGATACAGGCCAAACTGAATCCAAAAGTAAATCAAAATTTCTCAGGCCGACAAGTTTACCTTTGAAACCCGGCACTTTTACCCCAAAACGTCACCACGGCATAACACCCACAGCTAATACACTACCGTTAATATCACCAGAAACACCGAGACCCTCGAAATCATGTGTTCAATTGTATTTAAATGGTAATTCTTACACATATTTGGGTCTAAAATCGAGTACAAAAACTTTCTACTGTACCTTGAATTGTCCGCAACCCTCCTATGTACAAGACATGCACAAATTGTCCATGTACAGCGTGTGGCAAGTTTGCGCAGAAAACAATCCTCATCCGCTGGGTCTGAAACCGAAGAAGGCCATGTGTTTATATGATTCTCGACAACGGAGCAATAATTCGTATACAATGGCCGAATATGGCAAAATGTCGTATACTTTGGTATCGGCACAACAAATTGTAATGACACCATTTGTTGGAAATACCGATAAGTTTTATCATCATCAAATAAAACCACTGTTAACTTCTGTTCAAGAAGCGCGAATTAGTCCTAATTCAAATAATATCAAAGCCTTGGAATCGGTAAAAGGCGGAGCAAACATTTCAATACCCGCAGGACCTGCAGTATCGTCGTCATCTCTCTCCAATAACCATACATTAGAAGGCGGCTATGAATCTCATGAAAATTATACCTACATACGAGGAAGAGGGCGCGGTAAATACGTTTGCTCCGAATGCGGTATACGTTGTAAGAAACCTTCCATGTTAAAGAAGCACATACGTACCCACACTGATGTCCGTCCTTATACATGTAAGAATTGCAATTTTAGTTTTAAAACTAAAGGCAATTTAACCAAGCATGTGGGCTCGAAAACTCACTATAAAAAATGTATAGAATTGGGTTTAAATCCAGGTCCTCTGCCGCCAGAAGGGGAATTTTTAGAACAAGAAGTGGAATTTGATCAACAATCGTCTACTTCTGCGGGTGGACGTACTTCATCAATCGGAAATGGGGAGTCGGATTCGGAGGAGTCGACGGACAACGAAACTGAAAGTAGTGGGGAATCGGATCTAAGCAACAATGTTAACAATGCCAGCACCATCGTAACTTCTAATACGATTCCTGCTTTGGTAAATGCACCCCAATCTGTAAATGAAAATAAATCACGTTTGCAAGAACATGAAGCAGCCCGATGCTTGCTTTCGCTATCAATGACACCTCCCATTCCTTCATATTTACAAGCCAATGAGAATTCGGTTCTGACGATAACCACTGCTCCAACTACCACTAAAGCTGCTGCACCAACTGCGTTGCAACTCCCTCCGCCTACAACTAACACGAATGCCATCAGAAGGATAATATCATACACATCACCGAAACCGCCCTTTGACTATCATAAACAAGAGCAGTATTATTCGAACCCTGAAGAGTCCAAACCTAAACTTACTTCAAGCGATCATTTTGAAAGTGCCCCAATTGATTTAACAAAACCACGAAGCTTGTCTTCCAAAGCTATTGCGAGGATCACCGAAATAAACACTATTTCGTCTACTGTGGTAACGATAACCGATAACGTACAGTCTCAAGATCGAATTCGCGACGTAATTTTCGGTGGTCGAGATAATGAATCAGGCTTTTTGAAAACTTTAATATCGGTAAACTCAAAGGTGCTACGCACGCCAGACGCATTTGAAACTGTGCAGAAAATGAATGAGGATATCCTGATGAATGCCTACAGAAAAGAACAGATCTTACAATACCACAAAACTAAGCAAACCCAGCTAAGTCGCGGGTTCGGCGAAAAGCCTAAATCTATTACTACAAATAGTGCAACAAGCAGTTCCGTTGTCATTACTACAATTGCATCTCCACTAACAATGGCAATGACTATGGCGACCGTTGCTTCAACAATGAACAGCAATACAACAGTTGCGGTAGTAAAACCTATCCGACGTAATATGTCAGCATCGAAAACCGACGTGATTGAATCTAAAGATAACGATTCAAAAGAGACTACTGCAGTAAGTGAAGCGAACAAAGGCAATAAATTAAGTGATGACGGCGAAGAAAGTGAGTCTCCTTCTGATCAAGAACCACAAACGACGAAAAAGCGTAGGTTAAATATTGGGGAAGAAAAGCCCGCACACAATGCCAATCTGCCGGCCGCCATATTACAACCGGGGACCACTGATTTTGCTGGCGTGCTCTCTAACAACGGTTCTGCCGGTTGTACTGCCGGTAAAAACCAACAACAACCCATTCGGACGATAATAGTAGGAGAAGATGGATTTACTAATAACAATGAAATCCAACCTGTTTATCCCAGAGTAGCGAATATTTCCAACGCCGATGGCCGTCCCGTGTGTCCACAGTGCTCTAAGCCATTTCAGAAACAATCACAATTAAAGTTGCATATGTGTATTCACTATATGGAACGTAAATTTAAATGTGAATCATGCGGCGTTGCTTTTCGAACGCAAGGCCATCTACAGAAACATGAACGCTCTGATGCCCATAAAAATAAAGTCATTATGACCTCTAGCTTCGGGGTACCGACCACTTCAAACCCACGTCCGTTCGAATGTACAGATTGTAAAATAGCCTTTCGTATACATGGTCATTTAGCCAAACATTTGCGGTCTAAAACACATGTGCAAAAATTGGAATGCCTACAGAAATTACCATTTGGTACGTATGTAGAAATTGAAAGAGCTGGCATTAGCTTGACAGAAATCGACACCAGCGATTGCGAAAACTCACTAATATCCTTAAAACTGTTAGCTCAGAAGTTGATCGAAAAAGATCCTTCCTCCAAGCTTGGGAGTTATACAACACCTTCGGGTGTGCAGGATAATTCGAATACCGGGATGGTGTCACAGGACAGTGCCTCAGAAGACGGTTTTAGTGCTGCCGCTTCTGCGGCTTCTGCAGCCATTGCCTCTTTAGATAATGATAGTGCAGCCAATACGCCTCGTCGTGCGAATTCCACTTCTGAAGATGAGGCCATAGCAGCAAATTTGAATAACAATCTCAAACGAAGATTACCAGGCAGCTTTAGTAACGGTGAAGAAAGCGATCGCGAACAACACTTGGAATTAAATGAGAAGAGAACACGCTTGGATATAATGCCTATTATGGCATCTAATTCACCAAAATCTACTACCGGTAGCAGTCCGCATAACTGACCCCACGCTTTTGAGGTTCGCGACAGATGAATAAACGGTATGCTGTCTTGGCATGAGAGTTTAACTCGACAAGACAGCCTTACTGCTACTGTCACTGGTGCTTGTGCTAAATTGAAACAATATGTGCCAAATGCCCATGTCTACCAATATGTTCCCGTCATACAGGAAATTGCTAAATCCCAATCGCAACAATCGCAACATTTACCCCCACCGCTTAACAAACCATATTATTTACCATAATAGAAAAAAAACTTGAGGCGGTTCTCTCTACTAAAACTTGTTAAAATAGAGATAAAATTGAAAGGAAAAAAGGAAAGACTTAAACTATACTTTCTAAACCGACTCAGGACCAAACTTTAAAAAAGGGAATTATGAAATCATATCCTTAAGAAAAACTACATATCGTGTTTTATAATTCTTTCGATTTACAATACAAATCTTCACATATATATATATATACATACGTTTTTTGTTTTTTACACAAAAAAGGCCTTTTTTGGAAAAGAAATCTATTTACGAAAGAGTAAGGCTAAAAGCTAAAAGCCAAAAGTTAACTCAAAAGTTGTGTTTGAACAATGCAAAGTGAAACACAAACAAATTTAACAAGTTTTAGTAGAATTCGCTTTATTTCTCTAACACAAATAGAAAAAACGAAATAAATACTATCGGCCGGCTAAAGTCGACCGTTATCGCAACTCCACACCACTAGAATATATTTCGTTGGGCTTCAAATAAGTAAACTTTCATAAACATGTTTTCATTTAATTTACTATAACAATTTATTACAATATTAACTACCAATGAAATCGATCTTGTAATTAGTGTGCACTTATTGTATACCGTCAGAGCTTCGATAATGGAAAGAAAATTCTTCTTTCTTTCAATTATGCGGAGGATTTCGATTAAGCAGACCACCATAGCATATGAGACTTTCTGTCTAATCCCTATAATGCATTTAGATTTTGAATAATATGGAACATTCTAAATTTTGCTTATTAAAGCTTAGTTAAACACACTAATTATTCTCGAAACAGCTTTCTGCAAGTTTCCAACTTTTAATTCCGCGCCATACATTACCAAGGCGGGATTTTTAATAGAAATATTTACATTTTAAAGTTAGACAGTGAGTCACTTTAAAATTTTGAAGGCTTAATATAACAGAAATGAAAAATGACTGGTTTTCTTTAAATAGGGTGTGGATCCACAAAAGCATTTCTGCTTATTTTAGAACTTAAATTTTGCTAAAATAAAAAGAGGCGGGATATTGCAGGGATAATTGAAAATAACTGGGCATAAATAGCAGCAAAGATTCCGATATTAGACATATTTTATGAAAGGTGTACATATCCAGGCGTGACAGTCATTTCATAGAGAAAACTACCATCTGCACATTTATATTAAAAATGTATACGTGTGTGAAAAAACGAGAAAAAACGAAGACACGTCAGCAAATAAAATCTTAATATTCCTCACTTAATGTAGTCACTGATATTCTCTTTGGTGCTATATAGTCACATCGCACGCTACACAGCCATAGTCGGCAAAGGCACATAGCACTTACCGACAGGATACACTCACTCTCCACAGGCTGCGGCCTCTCTTTCTCTTTCCTGACTTCTTTCTGACCATCACATTTAAAAAAAGTAACCAATTGCCTTTTTTCTCTTGACAGTAAACAGTTTGTTGTGTACATAGTTAGCGAGATAATTATTACATTTCAAGCGGTTTACGTATGTAAAGTAGTTATTTATTTATGTTTATTTTGCAAGCCATTCTTGGAAGTCTAGTTACTTCTACGCCGACTATTATTTTTTCCAATTTAAAAAAAGTGGTGTAGGGTGAATACAAATATTTTAAAAAATCATCATTTAAGAAGAGAAAAAAATAAGAAGTATAGAAATACAATGTATTTGATACACATATATATATCATCCAATAGCAAACTGTTATATGTAAAAAAAAATATCACTTATAAATAAAAACATAAAAACAAAAAAAAAAAAATAACGGAAAAGAAAAAATTAAAGATTTTATTAAAAAAACAAAACTAAAAAAATTATGTTACATCAAAGAAAAAAAAAATAGTAATAATAACAAAACAAACAGCTGTGGTACTAAAAAATTTTTTTTTTTTTAATAACAACATGTAAAGAGATAACAAAAAAAAAAAGGTTAACTAACTTAATTAAAAAAATGTAAAAGCCAATTTAATGTATTTTATAACGTATTGTGTTGGTTAGTTAGTGTTAAGGAAACAAAGCTTTATTATTATTCTGTTTTTAACTGAAATCAAATCATCAGCTTTAAGCTGTATACATACATTTATATATATATATATATATATGTATATATATATACGTATCCATGTGTACATATTTCTGAGTATGTATGTATCAATATGCAATCGTATGATTATGTATATGTTGTATGTATGTTTATATATTTATATATATATATATATATATATATATGCTCTTATTAGTTTTCAATCGTAGTTCTTCCTGATTTCTAAAATTTTATTTTGGTTATTAATTTAATAATAATTTCTCTTGTTCAGTAAATATCCGTTTAGTTTTATTCAAACCCAAAAATCCTTGGAAACTTCATTATGAATAAATAAAACAATCTATGTGTGCGTGTGTATGTGTATATAATTAATTTTATTTTATTTTTATAAGATGTAAATTTCAATATAAGGAAAAATTATTTAAAAAATGTACAAATCATTAAAAAAAAATATATTAAAACTTTAATTTCTTAAGTATATCTATTATTATTAATATTATTTTAATATTAATAAATAAATGTAGAAATTAATTAATTATTTTTGATTTAGAATTCTTTGAAATAAAATAAACATCTATTTGTGTGTAAATTTAAATAATTGATGTATTTTTTTTAATGATAATGTATATTTATCTATACAAATGCGAGAGAAGACAAAGAAAAAAAAAAAAAAAACGAAAAGAAAGCTTCACTTATTTGTAAATTTTTAATAATTACATTATTTGTAATTTTATGTGCAAAATAATGGAAAAGAAACAAAGTCTGAGAAAAAAAAAACGCGTTTAAAATAACAAACACTAAATAAACAAAAACAGAATAATTTCTTTAAAAAAAAAAATGCTCATTTTTATCCTAACATTAGCGGGGTCACCTAAATACCGACAAAACACTTTACGCAGTTAGGCAGCGTAGTGGCCTAAATCTATATTTGTTTTGATTTTTATTTTATTGATGTTTTTATGGCACGTGTTTCATCCTGCTGTATGAAATTTTTTACTAAAAATACAGATTGATATGTGAATGGATGCATATTCATTTAATTTATTAATGAAATTCGAAAAACTATAATTTTGCAATTTTTCTTATAAAAATTATCGGAGTGTCGCAGCATAAATATTGTAACGTGATTCACTACTTCTTTCCCAATTTATGAAACATATTAAGTCCTTCCCCAAATCCTTCATTAGGCGCACGTCTTCCTCCGTGATTCAATTTTTCCCTGCTTATGCAAATTTATTATTGTTGTTTGAAAATTACTTATAATAAACATGTATAGAAATAAAAGCTAGAAAAAATTCCAATCATTCCTTTTACTATGTAAGCAAAATTCACAACTTGTGCAACGTGGTAATAAAGTTCTGCACATACTTCTGAAAACAGAAATGAGCACAAAGACAGCATCCCATCATATTAATAATCAAATTAATCTACCTTCATAGGGTAGAAAGAGTCTAGTATTAAAAGTATTCTAATGTTTTTTAGTTTTTAAGCAATCGAAAACGAAATTTCTTGATATAACATGCATAAGCAAATGCAAACTTTCAAAGGCGCGCATTATCGAAAATGGTTCGGATAGGACCATTCCTTCGACCTCGTCCTTCATAACGCCTTATTTTGAAAATTCATCATATGAAAAACTGCAAGATTTTGATCTGAATCAATGAAAGTTACAGGGAAAATCTATAATTTTTATGCTTGATTAATTTAGTCTTTATTCAGGATTCATCTCAATCTATTTTGTTTGAAATATATTTTCTTTTGTCCAAACGTTTTTTTGCTTTTCATTTTCGTATCATGTGAAAGCATCTGGTGTTTTAGAACATAATTTGTGAAAAGAAGCACGATGTAGAACGTTGCATGAAGTGCGTTCATTTTGCTGTGTTCATTTATTTATATCTTTCATTTATTTTATAATTTGAAACGTATAGTAAGGAAACATTGTTTTTTTTTTTAATTTTTGACAACTTTACGATTGTGTTGTCTTTTAACAACTGCCAATTCGAGAAGATTTTCAAAAACCGTTTGATTAATTGTGATTTTTATCCACCTCAATTTAGGAGCATCTGAGAGTAATTTTTGTATTCGTCTTCTTCAATAGTTGTAAACGATGTGTATTTAAACAAAAGCTGCGAAAGTTTTAATGAAAATAAACAAAAACTTAGAAAAATTCTCGCCGCAACATTTAATTATATTGATAACATTGATAACATCTTTATGGAGTAAACATATAGATTCTCAATAATTCCAAAGATGTGAGAAAAAGAGTCCAATTTGTTTACAATTTTTAATATTGTTCAAGTATTTGTATAAAAATTGCCTACATCTGAGAGCAAGCGTGCAAAAAGTTACTCTGTTTTGTTTAGAATTGAGAAAAATTCAAAGGGTTGGTCTGTATTTGTTTACAAATGAGAATAATTGAAAGTCAGTCTCTATTTGTAAACAACCGCCTGGTTAATTGAAAAAACGACTAAGAAATACTTCACCTTCCAAGCAAAAGTAATATTTGGAGGACTCCGTATTCGTCGAGATTTTGTAGACCGGGCGATTAGGATCCTGATAAAAGTGAGAACATTCCAAACACTGTACTTGGCTCTTTTGTGTTTCATTTCGAATTGCATCTATAAGGTTAGAACATGTTAGAATCTTCATAGCAACGTAGGATGTTCACAGTAATAAGAGAACTACGTTCACTACATACACGTAAGTAAATCGAACTTTTTTTGGATTTTATTATTTTTTTTTTTTAAATGTTGAGCTTAAACATACTAAGCCTCTAAGAAATTTGCCTCATATATTTAGATTATAAACTCGGCTTTTACATACAGACATGTTGAGTGCATTAGGAGCTGGTAAAGGTGTATGTAATGATGTAAAATTAAAAAAAGTTGCAAGCTTTGGCTGAACTAAGTTTATTTTAAAGATGAATTTACGAAAAAAAATTAATTAAATCCCTGGTACTGAGAAATAATTGCGTAATAATCCCTTGCAAGCAATTTCAAATTAAATCTCTCAAGCTGTGAGCTGTAAACAACCGATTTCTCCTACTTAAGAGAATTTTTACCTGGATTTCTCACACTTTTCTCGCAGGTATGAGTTGTCTCTTTTTATGGTTTTTTTTTGCTTTCTTTGCTCTGTACTCATTTACATTGCATTCAAACCATGAAATGGAGAAGAAGAAGAAAAACAAAATTAATAATGCATTTATAGTTTTGTGCTAAAAGTTTCATAAAGTGTTAGCAATGATAATAATATAGTAATAATAATAATAATAATTTTACAAGTTAGCCTAAAAGTAGACCGCCATAATTTTTTTTTTTATCAAATTAAAACAGCTAAATTTTCTGCTATTTACAGAGCGAACGTAATACTCTATGCTAACTTACAGAGCCGTCGTCAAAAGTCCCCAATTTGTTCCAAATTCTCTGCTAATCAATAAAAAACATCTGTTGAAATTCTATACAAACAAACAATTTGGCAAGTTAACAACAAAAACAACAGTAGTAGTGAATAACGTGAATAAAGCATATAAATAAAGTGAAAATAAATAAACCGTTTATTTTGTTAACCTCATTACCTCGGATGAAGCCATAGTATAGAAGCACTTGTCCTTATTGGGATTTAACGAGAAACGTAACCACCAGATTTTCCGTATTCTAATCAAAAATTCTGTCAGATTGTTTTCAGAGCAGATTAGCGCTTTTTTGGAACTTGAAAACAATCAGAAATGATGCTTAGCTCCGGCAATTCAACGCAAAATATTTTCGCAGCGCAGGACGTCTCGCGTACAACGGACTGTTTGCTATCGCTGTTAGTTGCAGCTTAGCGCAGAGGGCAGTGGCATGAATTGTGCATAAAACTCCTAACTGCCTTTAATGTTAATTTGATAAATTAAGATCATCGCTGCTGATCATTGTTTACTTTTACTCTCCACCTGCGTTCAACTTTCAAGCAAGAGCATTTTAGTTACGGGTTTTAAAACTATCTATAATAATAGGTGCGCATTTTCAAATCTCTGCTTAATCAATGAAACCACTGCACCAGAAATGTCTAGTTCCCGAGCCACAAAACAATCAATAAATTCAAACCAGTTTTCACATAAAGCCCTAACATATTTTCATATGTTATAAGCCTGTGAACGTTGTAAAAAACGCTACTTGATTCAAACTTTTTCAAGAGACATGCAGTTCTTAATATTTAGAAGGGATAAGCAGTAGAAGAGTAAGTAGAAGAGTTTTTTATTTTTATATTAGAGTAATTGCTCAGGCCACATCCCCTACACATGCGAGCGTTATGATCAGCAGGGCTTGTATGAAGAAGGAGGACAATAAGGGAAGTAGTAATTATTCGGAACATTCGAACATTCGCAAGTACGGTGGAAGATCGACGAGTCTGGCAGTCTCTTGTGCGTTATGCAGGCAACCCCAAAGCGTGTGGATAAGTCCTCTAAGTCGTCTCGTAAAGGGTACTGATTGATGGGCGAATCTCTTTAACCACCTTAGTAAACTTTCACTGGATGTGCCACGTTACGCTGAAGCCCAAAGGTTGTGCAGATATTTAACGAAGTGTCGTCCCACCCACTTGTTGTGGGCCCGCACATGAAATATATGCCTTTATAAAGAAACAAGATATAATTTTTGTGTTCTCTAATAAAAATAAGAATTGTGTTAGACAATGTGGTGTAGGGTAGTAGTGCTCGGTTTTC